GAGGAATATGGGTCCTTACCTGCAGCAAAGCGGGAACGCCCGCGTCTGCGGGGTCCACGACCTCTATCCGAGCCTCTGGAAAAGGGTTGCTGCCGATAGTCCCTTGTCGGGTAGGACGGTGTTGGTTGGGTGCTGGGGCCTGAAGGCCAAAAGCGGCTGGGGGCACGGCCCCGCTGCCGGCCAGCCCTTCCAAAAACCCCTCTGGTAGGGTTGCTCCTGAAAACTCTGCGCATAGAGGATTGCGCCTTATTAAGGGAGGTGAACACGTTTACGTGTTTATTGAGTTCCTTGAGGAACGGTTTGCCAAATAGTTTTCCTTGTGCCTGGGGCCCAATCTCCTTTGTGCCAAGGTCTGCCAATTTACCGTTAATACGGTATAACGCTGCTTTTCGTCTCTCCGAAGAGAGCGTAACATTAGTGTTTCCAATGAAACAAAACACCGTTGTGCCCATTCACGAACGTCATGTGCCCATTCCCTGATGTCCTCGGCAGAGAAGGAGTCGGCTTTGGCGTAGGCATCATGTGCCAGATACATAATGCGAGCCAGGGGGCCTACGGAATCCAGCAGGTTATCCTGGGCGCCCCATAGGCCTTTCTCTACCCCTCGGCGAGGGTCTCTACCACTGCGCATCATGAAGGTCGACATGACCTTGTCAAATTCAGGGGTCTGAGCGACCTTATCCGGCAGGGAAGGGCGTGGGCATTCAGACCTGAGTCGGCTGCGGACCTCCTTCTCCAGAGGTTTGCGGAGCCACAGGTGTATAAACCTGGAAAGGTGTTCTGGAGGTGACCAGTCACCCGATCTGGGGTGCCATATGTTGCGGGGGTCGAACATCGCCTGACCTGAGGGGTCCAAAATGGTGTCTGATTCTAGAGGAGGTTCTGCGTCCGCAGTGTCCTCAACACCTCCAGTCTGGGCAGCACCCAGGAGGGTCTCCCGCATGAAAGCGGAGACAGATTTCTCGTCCGAGCCCCATGCGTCGTAATCCGACTCACAAGCGTCAGCTTGCCATTCATCCAGCACTGACATGGACTGGGCAGGGCCCTGCTCTTCATCTGAAGAGTACTCCTGACGCGGGGCCGGGGTGTGTAGTTTGGCAGATTTGCGCTTGGCAGGTGCCTTACCCTTAGGCGGTTTGGTGCATAATCCTCGCCTTTGTCATGGCGCTTTTTAGGGCGGGAGTCATCCCTTGTCTGATAGTCGGACAAGTCGGAATCCGATTCGTGGCGTGTACGTCTGCGGGTTTTTGGTACGTCAGGAGCCGGAGCTCGGGCCTTGGAGAGTGCCTTCTCCACAGAGGCAGCGACAGCTGCGTTAATCATAGCCTGGAAGTCCACAGGGACGTTCTGGGAAACTTCCATGTTAGGGTAGGCTGATACGTCACTGAAAGGCACAGCAATAAACGGCACCCAGGTCTTGATAATAGGCGTAGGGTCAGATTTGATAGTATGGTGGGACCAAGCCCAGAATAACCCCAGCAGGGTATAGTAGTGACCTTATAAACTGGGGCTCACCCAGTTAGAGAGAACTGCAACAGCTAGTCTCCCAGTAAGCAGCGTATTTATAGTGGGGGCTCACCCCGGTTGCACAGGGTTGGGACCCTTAAGTGCAGGTCACAGTAATAAACAGGCAGCAGCACTGACCTGACTGACCCAGCCACAGGATATAGCTTGATAGAAGCAGATGAGGCACAGAGGCTGAGTAGCAGAGTGATAGCAGCTAGATGGAGTGCTGAGCAGGTAATCCTTCAGTCACAGTGTGAGACACAAAAGGTGTGAAAAACAGCAATGCAGAGGTAACAGCAAGTTAGCACAGCCACACTGAGTCCCTAATGAGATGCACGAGGCAAAACTAAGGTGGCCGCGGGAATCTTGCGATGTCCGCGATCCAAAATGGCGGCCGCGAGTGTAGGCCGCAAGCCGGGGACTAAATTTTGAGGCCGGCCGCGGGCGGAAGCAGGCCGGCGCGAAAACGGCCGCGAACGATTCCGGCCGCAAGGAGGGAGCCCAGGAGGGCACTCCAGGTTAGGGGGGCAGTGGGGGGACCTGGGGAGACTGAGGGGAGGCCCAGGGAAGGTCCCAAAATAAACAGAGGGGCAGATAAGAGTATAGAAACCCACAGAGAGCCCCTAGTCCCACAGCCCAGTACAGAACAGAAATAAAAGGGAATAAATTAAAGTAATAATAGTGATAATAACAATAGAATGGAACAAATAGATAATGACAATAAATGTATAAATGTATAAAGCTCCAGAGGAGCAGATATTCTGACCTGTCTGCGATGGAGCAGTAAAGAAAGAGAGGAAGTGTACAGGCAGCATGACCCTTATATACTATGCTGCTCAGTGATTTATTTGTTACTCTTTATGTTTTTCTTTACTGCTGTGGAGTTTAGTAAAGAGAGTTAATGCAAAATAGGAAGCCTCCTGTCATGTTATAAAATTGTGAAATATGCTATTACTCGTGGATAAGTCATGGATAAAACTTGGCGCTATGAAGTCCTGTGATTTTTATTATTTTGTCAGATTTTACCTAGGCAAAGATCCTGGAACAATCAAACAGTTACGGTATCTACTTCTCTACATTTCAGTGCACATGCCCCGTTCCAAAGCTATTAGATGACTGTGCCTGAATGCGGCAGGAACATTCGGTTAGCGTTATCTCGCCAGCTAGTGGTCCTGCTTATGGCTCACTACAGCCACCGCTGCAACAGTGACGTGGAAAGGGTACCGATAGGTGGCACTCATCAGCAATCGCTGCACTGTATACTAAATCAGCCTGCTGTTGTCCGTGTGTGTACCCGGTATCTGGGTCAACGTACAGCTATGTACACTAGCACTACCGGTAACTCTGTATTGCCCTGCATTTAATATGAACAAAATTCTATCGATACTACATGGACCCGTGGATCTGCGTTTTAAAATTAAGTTTACAACTAAAATTTCTCGAGTATATACGGTAGTCTGTTTGCATGTGCATGATAAAGTTTTACGTTTGTTAAGATTCATGATGGATTATCAAGGAGTGTGCATACTTGACTTTCCATAGTGATCAGTTCTACTTTTTTTAAGACATATTTTTACTTATTTGAAATCTCAGAAAATCTTACATGTAAGGTAAGTATAAATTGTATATCCTTTGTTTGCATGAGGATTATTTTTTTTATTTTCTTTTTATTGTTACCGTGCATGGAGTTCCTGGAGTTTTTTGGTTACATCTAGAACTTTTTTGGGGAGATTAAAATAGGTTGACAAAAAAAAAAGTTGTTTTAGGCTGGTGGTATACACCCTAGAATTCCTGTTGATGAGGTTTCTGCTTGCCCAAGTGCTCCTTTAAGCATGCCAGTTGTGTCTGTCGAAGATGGGGTGAGCCCACCAGCAGAAGAACAGGTCATTGAGGAGGAGCTGGTGTCAGAATGCAGAGAGCAAGCGCAGATGAATGACCCAGATGTTTTTAAAGAACTTCCTGAATTAGAATGTATCACACCTGAAGACATGTCAGAAATATCTTTTAGTCTTCCTCCTGCATGTTCCATAGCAGAAAAACATTATTTTGTTGAAAAACACCCTTATCAGCCAACCAGAAGTGAATGCGCAGATCTTCCTTTTCAAGAAGCAGACTTTTATTACCGCAAAAAGTCTAATGGGGATCGTATTAAGCATTCATGGCTGAGTTGTAAGATAAAGGATCGAAAGTTAGAAGCATTTTTTTGTAGCATATGCATTGCCTTTTCTAATTCCTCTTCCTCGTTCACTCGTGGTTGTTCTAATTTTCAACATTGCTATCAGGCAGTAAATAAAATATTGAGGTATTAAACCGTATATTTAATATTGTAAAACTGCTCGGAAAACAGGGATTGCCATTTCGTGCCCATGGCACTAATGAATCGCTGTACAATTTAAATAACATTGAAATAAACCATGGGAACTTTCTTGAAATTGTCCTACTTCTATCACAGTATGATGTTCCTCTTAAAAATCACCTTGATAAATGTGTTCAGGACAGTGAAAAAAGAAAACAGCGATTGAAAGACAGAAAAACTTCAGGAAAACATTCAACTGGACGTGGATCTCTTGTGACATTTTTGCCCAATAATACAATAAAGAAAGTATTTGCAGCAATAGTTCGAAGCATGAAAAACTTAATTGTGTCTGAAATCGGAGAGAAACGATTCAGTATACAGGTTCACTCCACCCAAGATGTTGGAATTGTAGATCAAGCAACAGTAGTTGCGAGATATGTGCAAGATGAAGCCATTAAAGAACGGCTTGTGGCGATTCTCCCTGTTAAAGATGCTACAGGAAAAGGATTTCACGAACTTCTAATGTCCTGTTTTGATGTACTTGGATTAGATTTCCAAAAAATTGCCAGTGAATCATTTGATGGTGCAGCAAATATGAGGAGTGCGTATGTGGGACTACGTGCACAGATTGCGAAGGTCGTGCCAGATGGGGTTTATATTTGGTGCTATAGTCATATCCTTAACCTGTCATGTATTGGAAGCAAAATATTTCTTTAAATCGCTTGGCAACTTTTATTGGAGACTCCCACAAAAGAATGAATATCTGGAAAGACCATCTGGATAGAAGACATGGACAAGAAAAACTGTTAAAGTTACAAAAAATTGGAGAGACAAGATGGTGGGCAAAAGAAAAGCCCCTTAACTGGATTTTTGGTGAAAAACATTCTCTTTATTTAGACACCCTTGAAGTTTTATATGTAATTTCCCAGAGTAACTTGTTAGAATCGAAAACCACTTCTGAGGCCTAATCCCTTTTTCACAATCTTTGTCAGTTTAGGATTATCCTAACAGCAAACATATTTTTACAGGTTTTTGATGTTATAGGGCCAGTGTCAAAATATCTACAAACCAGTGGCCTTGACTTCAAGGTAGCATGGCAAATGGTCGAACGTGCAGTTGAGCAACTGAAAAAAATTGATTTCAACTATCTAAAACAAAAGGCTGAACACTTTGCAATAAAAACAAGTTAATGGAGTTAATGGATGAAAGTGATGTTCTTAACTCCTTGGAAGTCGAGACTATGCTTCCAGTTCAAAGAGTGGCACGAAAAAAACACTTGGCTGGAGAATCTTCACATGATGAACTACCTGAAGATGAAATGCAATGTTTTCGAGCTAGTGTGTTCAGACCAATTCTGGACCAAATCATACAAAGCATGACAGAGAGATTTTCAGAAAATAAGCAATTGGTCATGGATTCCCACTACTTGGATCCTTGCACATTTCAAAAAATTAGGACAGATCCCAAAGTACTAGATGGAGGGGCACTAGAGAGAATTTCTAAGTTAGCTAAAGTAAATGAATGTTCTCTCAAAACTGAATTAATAAGTTTTGCCAACTTATTTTTAAGTCTTACAGGATGTCTTTCTGAAGATGAGACACAGAAAGTGGAAATAATTCTTGATGATGATGAGGAGGAGGAGATTAATGACTGGATTCCACCTACTGACAAACTAGTTGAGGTACAAAAGGAATCAAAGTGCGGTTCTTGCAAGCAGTGCTTTCTTTGCTGTCACAGGTTGTTGTTAAAATACAACCTTTATTCTGCAGCTTATGAAAATCTTTCGATCACCTATGAGTACCTGTTGACCCTTTCTTTTACACAAGTGTCATGTGAGAGAGCATTCAGCAAGCTAAAACTCATCAAGACCCGACTGCGAGCCACAATGGGACAAGAACTGCTTGATGCTCTAATGCTCATGTCAATGGCGAGAGATCTTCTGGAACATGTCCAGTTTCCAGATGTATTGGAAATTATTCGTCAAAGTTCTTCCTTGATGAGGTTTTTGCTAACCGTTTGATCAAATATTTAGTTTAAAAGTTTTATACAGATATTTCTTTCTCTGGCTTCTGTATTTTTAAAAAAAGTGTATTGTGTCCATACATTGTTCATTTGTTAAAACTGTAGATTTTATTTTTGTTAAACCACATTTTTTGCTATTATAATAAAATTATGTTAAACTACATTGTATCATATTTGTCTTACTTCATAACATCAATATCCGTTATAAAACAAGGAAAGGTGGGCGTGGATGGTGAGCTGATACGGTGGTGCAATGGGCCACTTGACTGGATTTGACCCCAGGTCTAAGGCTACCAGCCCTCCCCTGCTGGGGGGGGAATGAGACACCTGGAGCGTCTTAAACGAACCAGAAACAAGTACAGTGCTACATTCAACAAGTGCAACATGTGGTTGAGGAGGAAGATAACTGATGATGATTTGATGAAGATTTCAATATGGTATGTCTTCTTTTAATGTTCTTACAACATATATGTATTTGCTATGTTTTCATTTTGTATATGTACTTCATAATTAAGGTTTTCAATGGAAAAAATTGTTGGTCAGGAATGGAACCCATGTTTATTACATTGCGGTCTATGGGAAATTAGTTCTCGCTTTATGAACTCTCATTTTATGAACTAGGCTTCGGAACCAATTAGTTCGTAAAGTCGGCAACTACCCGTATTTACTTTTGGTACTAATCTATTTTAACTCTTGTTGTTCCATATCTTGGCATAGCAAACTATTCAAGATATGTAAATAAGCACAATAGGATACAAATGCAATTTATCTTTTTCACATTCATCATTCTGTTATTTTTTAAATTTATTTTTTTACATTTTTATTTTTGTTGTGCATCGGAATACATACAGGCTTGTCATGCCCCAACAGCAGACGACAAGCTATTCGAGATATACAGGTTATGTGCGGTAAGGCATTTATAGAAACTTGTACAATTTTCAAAATTGTAAGATAATAAAATAACAGGCAGAGTGTAAGAAAAAAGTAGATTATACCTTGTCAAAGTAGGTTTAATGCTAAACGGTGGTGCCTTAATAATGAGCTGGACAGACAATACAGCATTATTTAATGCCAACAGGCTAGATAAACATGGCTACTTGCTTCATCTACAAACATAAAATTACAGGAAAAGCTCTAATGAAAAATGGCTAATAAGTGTGTGGTTTATAAGGTACAGGGTGCTTTTAAAGGAAGAGAATCTGTTCCCATACCAGATATATACATGTAATAAAAAAATAAGAAATGATCCCAAGGCACACCACGGTTTTGCACATAAAAAAAGAGTATTTATTCATGCACAGAAAACACAACAAGGCATCATTATAGCAGAGAGAAAGTGCATAGTATAGTGCTAAACCAGTATATAGTACCAAAACCTCAAAGTGCTAAATACAAAAACCCATTAAAAAAGGTATACTGACCAAGAGCAGGAGAAATGAAACCCAATCATACACCCAATCATACACAATTAGAGCTATGAGGGGTAAATATGTAGTGTTGTGTATGTATTACATTTTGGTGTATATACTGATAACACTGCGTCTATAGCCGTCAATCTTTTTTTTTTTTTTTTTAATATGCGGAAATTTGAATAAGATGGTTATGAAAAGATTTAAAGGCTATTTAAATTTACTTCTTCTGGAATTCTGTACATGACGTCTCTTTTGTAGACTATTTTTTCAATTTTGTTGAGCACATTTCAATTCAATTTCTTTTCAATTTTATTGAGCACATCATTTGTCTACATGGAAGATCTTGATCTAAATAAATAAAATATATGTAACTTCCGATACTTAATGAAATTGAATGACATTTAAATATATATCATTTATATTTATATTTCTTATTGAGTTTTTGCAGTGTTAAAGGGTTGGGCAACACATTACAAGCTCTTTTGCACAGCTTGATTTACCATAAGGCATCCTAAGGCACCTGCCAAGGCCTTAGATTCACGGTTGCCATGAAGAAAATTAGCCAAGCTTGGCCCCATTTAATATCCCTTTATTAAGAGTGGTAATATGGCCTCTGAGATCTGAATCCTTCTCTGGCAATCAGAGGCTATACGCTTAGATTTGTATTCATGTATTGTTAACATAGATTTAAGCACAAAAAATACTCCAAAATGCTATATACCTCCAGGAAATTCTGTAAAGCAATGTCTAGAGGCACAATTCCTGGATTTCTCTGCATATTTTGGTACTGCAGACATTTGTGATCTATGTTCAAGGCTGGGAACACATGAGTATAAATAATGTCATACCAGCCCTGTATAGTTGGTATATATCTATGTGATGGATATCGAAGGTCATAAAGAAAGACACTTTGAAGACCTGTGAAGGCACTCTATTCTATATATCTATATTTGGAGTAGGAAGTGCACCAGGCAACACACAACAGTATTAAGAAGGAAGAGGGCTAATCTACAAGTATGTGTGAATATTACATATGACATGGCCTGCCTGTTATTATAAATCTTTCATTACTAAGTATGTTTAATTAAAAAAAATTAGCATAACATTTATTTGAAGCAAAGGATGCATAGCTAGCACAGAAAAATAGCATAACATGTTTTGTGTATAAATTGGTTTGCAGACAAACTTAAAAAATAAAATTATGTAAATGTACAACATTTTATTTTCCACTTATTTGTTCAGCCTTTATTAAAATACTGGGGAAATGAACAGCTTTAACCATTATTTGACAACCTTTATCTTAAAATCTGAATACACACTTATTCTCATATACAGGAGGTGTGACAAAAATAGATAAGTAAAAATGGCCAAATACCATGCGTAGAGGTATTTGCAAGGAGGGCGATGACTTTACTAGTATTGCAGCTTACTGAAAATGGCAACAGAATGTAAAAAATAATGTTTGCATTTATGAATAATGCCCACATACAGTAAATGCAGTAAATCACACATTTAAAAAAAATAAAAAAAATAAAGGCATTTACAACAGATATAGCAGTCTTTATCAATCTCTGGAATGTTAATGTAATGCAACTGTGAAATGGTTGAGTCCATTCACTCCTCCCCATCTTTTACAGTAGGAATGATATAACCCATTGAAACTTATTTTACTCTTTGGAAGTTGGAAGTTGGAAGTTAGCAGAAGACATTTTCAGGACACTTACAGGCATATTATCAGAGATTAGTTGCACCTGTTAGAGATGCTTTTCTTCTACAGGCTAGCCATCATTTCTAGAGTATACATGAGGGTTAGTGAAGCTTTATGGACTAAATTTCATTCTGCAAAACACACAAAAATGTTTATACTCAATTTTTTTAGTGAAGGTGTTTTAATGAATTTATATGGGAATAACCTTTTTTGCCCTCATATTCTGTCTTTCATCTTTCACCAGTAAAGCTTCATAGCCGATCTAAGGGCACATATTTTTGTGTGAGACTGTGACAAAAATAGCTAGTGTACTTGATTTCAGATGTTTAAAGAGACAGTCACCCCCAATGTTTTTTGTTTGTTTTTTTGTCTCAATGAATTAAATAAAGATTTCCTGGCTAAATGTGCATCTATATACAAATCACAATATGAAAATTAGGAAATTTCAAACAAATGACCAGTTACATCTGTGTATCTCTGTTTTTAAACAGGTTGGAAAGTCATGATTGTGTTACATATTTGATGCATTATTATGTTGCTTGTTTTACAAGTTATGAATGTTTGTTTATATTTATATGTATTTCACCACATGTTTAAGGACAATTCACAAAGGCTAGTCCTTGTCCAAAAATAAATTAGTGTGTTAGTTCCATTGAGAACTGTGTGCCCTGTCTGATTTGTTCAGGGATCCCAGTAATAGAGTTTTCAGACCTGTTGGCTGGTTGTACTGGTCCCTAATTCCCAGGCCTGAGAGCCATAAGTGACTTTGTAAAGGCATTAGCTGAAAACAGTGTAAGCAGAAGTGTTGATATCTGCCTGAGAAAGAAACAAAAGAGGCAAAGATTGAGGTGACAATACCTGCCTGGAAAGAGAAAGCTGTTGTCTGGTCCAGTGGAAGAGGTCCTCAGAGATCCCAGTCACTGGGTCTGACGTGTTCCTGAGTCCATGGTAGCAGAGAGGAAGCTGAGCTGATGGAGATACTAAGCCGAAGTACAGGAGTTCTGCTACACAATAGTTTTCGTTTTTGTCATAATATCTGTTTGCCATGATCCATTATATAAATAGTAGAATCTATTAGAGACATGGAGGCTCGTATTAGGCTGCTTTTTTTTCTTTTTTTCCCTTTAGCAGCAAAGAAAGCAATATATAAAACATTGAAATATAATGTTAAAGGGACACTATACTCACCAGAACAACTACAGCTTATTGAATTTGTTCTGGTGAGTAGAATCATTACATTCAGGATTTTTGCTGTAAGCACTGTCTTTTCAGAGAAAATACAGTGTTTACATTACAGCCTAGTGATAACTTCACTGGCCACTCCTTAGATGGCTGTTAGAGATCCTTCCTGGGTCATGGCTGCCTAAAATGCATCCAAATATTCAGCATCTCCGCCCTCTGCATGCAGACACTGAACTTTCCTCATAGAGATTCATTGATTCATTTCATCTCTATGAGGAGATGCTGATTGGCCAGGGCTGTGTTTGAATCATGCTGGCTCTGCCCCTGATCTGCCTTTTTGTCAGCCTCAGCCAATCCTATTATCCATTGTGATTGGATCAGGCTACCACTTCTGATGATGTCAGCAGACTGCTTTTTTTTTTTTTTTAGGCAAACAGCATGCAGGTCCACAGCTTTTGACTTGCATACAGTAAGATTTTGCTATATTTATAGAGGCATGAGGGGCCCAGGGGGGCTAGGTGTTGGTTTTAACACTGTAGGGTCAGGAATACATGTTTGTGTTCCTGACCCTATAGTGATCCTTTAACACCAAATGTGAAACAAATTCATAATTTGACCTGACAACAAGGCCACCAAACATGTATAATATCCCGGAAATCACACACACAATCTGGCATACGATTGTGTGTGTGACAT